GAATAATGAAGGGAATAACGAAGAGTATAATTATCATGACATAGAGTTAGAATATATAGATACTGACTTGGAGTTGGCGGAAGGAAATACCAGTTTGGAAATAGAGCACATAAAAGTGAAATCTAATAGTTATCTAGCTAGAACAGATAGTTCGAATCTTAGTGAGGTTTAGAAAGTAGTCCTGTTAAACCTTTTTATGAGGTAGTGTTAGTTAATAATATAGAATATTGGGCTTGTCGCCACAAAAGCTATTCATGAACAAAATACAAAAAAAACGGCACTACATTAAATTTATAGAGACACTTGAGAAGCAAACATCACATTTCAAGAGCGATGGTGGAAAGTAAATGGGTAAAAATAGAAAAAAAAAATGAGAACAAGTATAAATTTCATATTATGGCGGAATCCTCACAAAAAACATTAGTAGAGATATTTAGCAAAGCAGCGAAATATTCATTCAATCATCCAAAGCAAAAAAAACTCAACAGCAATCTTGCTGCTTTTATTGTTAAAGAACTCCAGCCCTTTTCAATCCTAAGATCACAAACTTTAATAAAAATAATAGAGGATCTGGACTCTCAAGCTAGCGTTTTAAGCAAAGATCAGTTGAAAGAAATTTTGATCAACGCTGAGGATAGAGTTATGCAAAGTATGCATGAACATGCACATGATGACAATGAAATTTGTTACATCTCATTTACCACTGATATGTGGACTTCTGATAACGATGATCCGTACATTGGACTTACATTTCATTGGGTAAATGGAGACTTCAAGTGCGAGAAATAGTTGGTGAGATTTCATACCTCCTATACCCCCATATAGCAGAGCGACTTGCAAACAAAATTATTGAAATTTTGAACAAATTTCAGCTTATAAGTAAAGTTGTGTATTGCACGGCTGATAATGGTGCGAACATTAAGTCATGTTTAAGAAAGTTAAAGGATAGGTATAATATATTCAAAAATTTTTGTTTTGGTTATACTTTAAATCTTGTAGTCAATGATGCGTTAAAGAGATGCCCTGAAATTATCAAGATTATAAAGAAATACAAGGATATTGTGTCATATTTCAGCAGAAGCCCAAAACAAAAACAGTTTTTATTAACAGCTCAGATAACAATGGATGATTGGGATAGGTTGCTTTCTGTAGTTCGTGATGTTTTAACATGTTGGAACTCGACATTTTACTTGTTAAAACGATTAATTATTCTTAAACCGGCACTATATAGGTATAAATCTTTTTTAGTTGAAGATAATGAGAGTGGTTCACTAAAAAGCTACAAGGAAAAAGAACTATTATCCGAAGAGTGGGAAAAAATAGGCGGGTTAGTTAAACTATTGCATCCATATGAGATTATTTCGACACAATTATCCAGTTCACAGTATCCAACACTTTCGCAAGCTTGGTTTGCGATTAATTATATTAAATCAAAAATTAATAATGTATTAATAGATAACGTATTGATACCTAATATTGAAGTTAAAAATTTTGGAAAATATCTTCTTGAATCAATTTAAACATGGTTTTCAGAACCAACTCAATTAATTCGACTTGCTGCCTTTTTTGACCCTCGAACTAAAGACATGCAAATTTTTACAGATGATGAAAAACGTTACACTATTTTGGAAGCATGTATGAAGTATGATGAGCTGGCCTCAAATGATGAATTTAAAGAGAGTCAATCAAATTCTTTAATGTCTAATAATATTGAGGAGAATATTTTTTCTATTTTAGTGCCTACTTACTCTCAACTAAGCCAAAAAGACAGCAACAACGAATTCGATTCATACTTACTATTACCAAGGGCCCCAAGCAAAACAAATATACTTCAATAGTGGGTATCAAGAAAAGCTGAATATCCAGTACTTGCAAAATTAGCTCGCAAGTATCTATCAATTCCAGCAACATCCATACCATCTGAGCGCCTTTTTTCAGCCGCAGGTCTTACCATTACTGAAAAGCGAACAAACCTTGATCATCAATTTGTTGGAACAATTTTGTATCTTAAAGCGGTATTAAAACTTTGGCCGATTTTACATGTTTTCAAATAGATAAATTTTTATTAAATTTTGATTTAATAAAAATTTAAATGTGGCAATAATGATAATAAAAAATAAAAGTATCATCTTTTGCGAATTGGTATAATAATTTGCAGGTAAAGATAATTTAAAGACCACCTGATTAAATATGAATTGGTATTTATATTATACAATTAAAATGAGATTCGTGTAGGATAATATACACAGAAGTTATTTACGGCATCAAAAATTTTTATAACGATATAACTGAATTAATGGAAAATATTTTTAATAATTTAAATAATGAATTTATTCCTTATACTCATATGCAATTGTGAGTTGATATTGAATTTAAATAATTAGAGATTATATAAAATGTTAATTTATTGCGCAAATTAATACATACTAATAACATATTGGTAACAGTTTAGTCTAAAATATTAATGACCTCATAAAAAGATATTTGTATAATTGGCGGTAATTTATTTATATGTTTAAATTATGAACAAAAATCGAAAGAGCATCAATATTCACTACACAAAATAATCAAAATAATCAATTACCCGAATAATGTCACTTATAAGTGAGGGTTTAATATTTTAATTAATACGATACTATGTAAATTTCGCTTGATAATTAGTTTAATTTGATTGGTCAATAGTTACATTTTGATGCTATGATGTTTGACTCAGGTCAGGCCAATTTTTAACCTGTGACTTGTATAATCCATCGAGTCAGGTCAACCCGTATGAGTCAACTGACTTGGGTAACATCTCTAACAAATATTTTGATAATAAAATTATTTAAAATAGAGTAATAGATTAAAAGTTATTAGCAATTCTATAAATTAGCCTATATGATAATATTTTATAAATAATAAATAAAATTAATATTATTTCTATTTGTAAAGATATTTATGTTAATGCTAATATATAGTATAACAATTAGATATTAGGAAAATTCTTTATCTGGTAATTCAAATTAGTTTGAGTATAGTAATAATAGCCTACTACAGAAAAGTTTGCTAGAAGTATTTTAGTATATACTATCTCTAATATTAGAAATTAGAAAATATTTTTATTTGCAAACTTATAAAAATTATATAAAAAGGATATTTATAAATCTAATTCTGAGATTTCTACTTATACTATGCCTTGTTCTGACTAGAAAATACCTATTTCAAATATTATATACAAGTTTTTATTTATTGAAAGTACTAAAATTTTATTTATTCTAATAATAACCAATTTTAAAATATTAGACCTTAATCCAACATGTCTTAACAAAAAAAATTTGATAAAAGAATTAAACTTGAGAAAAATAGAAGCAAACAAAAAAAAACAAAAATACACTAATATCAAATTTGAAGATCTAGCTAGAACTGATGTTAAAAATACTAGCTATTTATAATGCTAGATTATGATATAAACTCTAATATTTTTGTTAAAAAAACTAATATAAGTAATAATAGGTATAAAATAAGTTCAATTCAATACTTTAATTTAAATAATATCTAGGTTGAATACTGTAAATTTTCCATTACCATCGGGATGGGTATTAAAAAAAAAAAAAAATACTAAAAAAAAGGAGCTAAAAAAAGAATTGCAAAAAAAATAAAAAAAATATTAGAAAGATATTTTCTAGCTAATATTGCAAACAAAAATAATCGTTATATTGTACAAAACATATATCAAGCTTTTTAACAAAAGAAACTTGAGAGTAATATTAAGGCCAAAGCTATTTTAAAAATATCTACTATTCAAAGTTGGATCGGCTATTATACTTATTAATATAGTTAGACCTCTATAAATGCAACCTCTATAAATGCAATACCTCTCTAAATACACATTCTTGGCCTGGCTATAAGAAATCATTAGTGCTAAATACACATTCTATATTCTGCAAATGCACGTTCACTTAAAAGATTTTTTATATCATACTAACCTCCCTAAATGCACATAGCCAATCAGAATTCAGTATTCAAGTTGTGTTATACAAGCCTGCAGATCAAACATTAAAAGCTGCAATTTGATTGGCTTTCTCTAAATGCAAACCTCTCTAAATGCATGATTAAAGCTAGTCTGTATGCAGTACACTTATGGAGGTTTGACTGTATTATAAGCATATAGCTCAAACAAGTATAATTTGACAATTTTAAAATAGTATAAATTGTAATATGAAATTCTTTAGTAATAAAGTTTTACATATTCTTGCTTATAAAAATGAAATTTATATGCTTTAGAGACAATATAGCCTGTCTTTTAATTTTATTCTTTTTTTAAAAATTAGTTTTTGATTTGAAAGTAAAATTAAAAAAATAGATTATAATATCTTTAGTGCTAATATCATAGTAAAAATATATGAAATAATAAAATTACAAATTAGTTTTTATTCTAAAATCTGGTGTTGTTGACAAATAACTTTTTTTTTTTATTAACTAAACAAAAGAACTAAATAACATATTTTTGAAGGTTTATATATAGTCATCTCCCTTTATAGTTATCTCTTTTATAGTCACAACTTTAATATAATTACTTTTTTTTTTATTAACTTTTTTTATATTATTTATACTTTTATATAGACACAATTGTCTTTTAGTTACTATCACATTTTTTTTGTTAACTGGTTATATAATATCTATATAAAATTACCCTTATAAAGTCACATATTAAATAAAATAAAGATATGCAAATAAATAAAATTAGTTCTTGTTACCCAACCAAGTAATTTTTATATAAGCATATATAAACTTTTTTTATCACAAACTATATTTTCTATAAGCTAAAGAACTAGTAGCACATTCTGAATTGAATCTCATTTTATTTTTCTATTACTTCTATACTATTTTTTTATACTTATTCGCACTAATTTTACATATGTATATATAAACTCTTTCTAACAATTCCTTGTATCAAAATTTACAACTAAACTTTTTTGATAAAATAATTAGCTTTAATATTTTAGGTCTAATAATTTGATTATATCGGATTAATGTACAAATATTAAAATATTCCTAGTTTATCTAACTAAAGTTAATGTATTAGATAAGACAAAAAACAGAAAATTATTTAATAAACATTATTTAATAAATCTAAATAAATTAAAATTATTTCTAATTTATTAAACAAATCAAAATAAACTAAAATTTTAATTTTATAATATTTTAAAATTAATATCATAACCAATTCAAATATTATTCTATCAATTTTATTTGATTTATTTTATATTATTTAAATTATTTCAGACTAATTTAAATCTATTTAAATTATACTAATATTTCTTGATTTATATTAAAATAAATTTAGTTATAATCTAATTTAAATTTCTAAAATATTAAATATTTTTTAATAATATATACTTATTATTGTCGATAGTTTTACTTATTTTTATTTACTCTAATTATTTTTGAATTAATACAAATTTATTTACTAATCATAAATTTGTTATAAACTTTTGCTTTCTTTTTTGTAACTTTGTGAAATTTCTTATACTATATTTCATAATATCTTATATAATATTTCATAATTTAATATTTTGCAAGGTTTTGAAATATCTTACATTATATTACACCTTTTTTACAGGTTATAATTTATTATATAATATTACATCTTATTAAATTTGCTAATGTAGTAAGTTAGTTCTTTAACAAAATTTTGTTTGCAGTAGCATGCTATAGAATTATGATAATTCTAATACAAGTTAACTCATCTTATTTAGAAAATTATATTAATTTATTGAAATAATTTATTTTTGATTAATCCAATTGTGTAATTGTAAAGTGATTTCTTAGACAAAAATTTAATATAAGTATATAACTTTTATAATCTTTGTTAGACAAAGTTATACTTGCCAAAAATTGTTTTGTATAATTGTACAATCAGACAATATCAGGTGATTTTATAGGTCTACAAATTTGATTAAAAATAAACTATTTTGCAAATCACAATAAATGCAAAATAACTCATTAAACACTTATTGTGGTTAGGGCAATGACATTTATTACCTAATATTGATTTACTATAACCATCTACCCCCACCCCCCAGGTAAGATAAGAAAAATAGCCAATCAAAAATCAAATCCAAAATAAGTGATTTGATTGGCTAAACAAAATAACAGTACTCAAGAAAAACATACAGAGGGGTCTCCAAAATTCTGGATCAGAATGTATCAGAATACTGGTTAGCTGGAAGTAAAAATGCCTAGCTGTTAATTTTGCTATAAAACCTGCTAACGACTAGGACTAAACACCGACCTAGATTTGATGCATCCGACCCAGAAATTTGGAGACTCTCCTATAAAAATTATCAAGAAAATCCGGTCCAGTACAGACTCCAGAAGTCAAATATTTATTAAGATCAGACTTGAAACTTCAACTCACACATGTAGCTGGTATATTTTAGATATATCATATTATGTTAGATGCACGTGTAAATGCGAGTCGAAGTCCCATGTCTGACTTTTTATCAGCACCCTACTTTGCATTCATTTAACGATTAAGGAGATTATATTGTATGTAGCATGGTAATTAAGCCGATATAGCAAAAGGGGTTTTCTCATTATTCTAAAACAAGTAACTTTTTTTTTTTTTTGAAAAAAAAAACCGCTAGTATGACACCATATGGCATGATTTAATGAATACTAAAACAAGAAATTTTCTATACGTATGTATATATGTTAAAAAATCATCATTTAACGCCCACTTTTTCCTACTTCGTGAACAACATTTTTTTTTTTTTTAATACACAAAGTTGACATTAAAATAAATAGACAACTCAATCTTAGTTCCAATTATGAAAAAGAAATAGAAACTTCCAAAGAAAAAGCAGCTGATAATTCCGATAGACAAAATGTAGGTAGTGATTCTACTAAACAAAATGAAGGTGGTGATTCTACTAGACAAAATGATAACTTCTGCAACCAACAAGGAATAGGCACTGACAAAAATAAAAAAAAAGCATTTCGCCAACCTTTTTTTTTAACCCCTAAATATAATAAAAATTCAATTTATAGTTTACCAACAAGAAATTTTCAAATGCCTATATATATAGTATTATGGTAAAGACAGGAAATGGTACCCCTAATCGTGCACAAGTTTGTCGTGAGGCAACACAAGAGTGGAACAAAATTAAAACCAAAAGCGTGAAGAAAATAAACAACATAATAAAGGTATATTTGACTACACCATTTAATCTATATAACATACAAACAATGAAATTAAGAAATTTTGTGCCTGAAGAAAACTTAGCGCCTTTCCATTCTACTATCTATTCAGTAGAAGACCCTGTACCTGAAATTTCACCAAATGCAGTAGCACAAAAGAATGCAACAAATACAATCGAAACAGCTAAAAAAAAACTTTTAGAACTTAAGCAAATGTACAACATTACAACAGACCCCCAGTTTCGATGTGAAATATGAAGAATTTCAAACACAAATACAAGCTAATAAAAATAGAATTGTCAAATTAAAAAGAAATGCAAAGTATGCTCAAAACTGTAAAGAAAAGAAACAAAAAATACTCATCAAAAATCAGGAAGTAATCAAATATGATTGGCCAGGTCATCCATCACTCCTTTTTAAGCATCCACATTTGTATGATTATATTCATGAATCAGTTGAACTTGGATCAGCTGATGAAAAGCGGAGAAAAGAAATAGTTAAAGTGCGGATAGTAGAAAATTTACATAAAAATCTTGAAGAGAATTATGGTGTCTATATAGCATGAACAACATTAAATAATTACTTCTTACCTCAACAATCCAATTATATAGCCACGAAGGCACACCACCACCCAGCATAGATTTCAGTTGCAGGCATTTCATGGACTGAAACACATGAACATCCTGACAGTCACTATTGTTTTGTATCCATTAAATGTGCGAAACAGTTGGCATCTGTTTTCGCTAATATGTCAATAATAATATCCCAGGATGATAAAGCGAAGATAGGCTTTGGTGTGCCTGCTGTTAGTCAAACATTTCATAGATTACAATCAATCAATGATCCAATATGTGTATCAGATCATGATTTCTTCGTAGGGTTTGAACAAAAATTAATTCCATCAGTATACCTTATAATCAACCCAAATGATTCAAATGATGAGCTACGAATGGGACAACTTGCCATTTTCGTACGCCACCAGTGGTCTCTTGGTACTTCCTCGCTT